TGAAGAGCCCCGAGCTTGAGGCTGAAAACAGGCGTCTTCCCTGGAGCGGGACCAGCTGGTTGCACTTCCGGGACCCGAATAGACGTCCCCAGTTGGTGCGCCCTAAGCGGGGGAGGGGGGAACTCCCATTTGCAGAGGAGTGCCCTGCAGGCAGGTAGGCAGGGAGGAGGGCTCTTGAACAGGGATTGCCCGGTTGGTGTTTGCAGGGGGGTTCCCCAGGTTCATCTGCAAGCAGAAAGCAGGGGGATATCCCCTAGTCCCACCTCTGCCTTTGCAGTCCCCACTCTGCACCTGGGGAAATCCTTTGCAGAGGGATCCCTCCTAGGTGTTGCATGGGGTGCCTGTCTGCAAGCAGGGAACCCCCTCCTTTGCAATTATGCACAAAGACTTTCCAACTGCTTAGGGATGCACCTGGATAAGCTGGGAAAGCAAGGCAAGCACTTCCAAGGCTGGAGGGGGCCAGTTGTGCCTGGGAGCTTCTGGGTTTTGCAGGGCTGAGCCCCACAAGCTGGAGGAGCTCCTGCCCAGGTAGTTTCACAGGGCTGAGCTCTTCCACCATAAGCAAACACAAGTGGACCACAGTAAAGCGGCCCAGTTTGTTACTACCTTCTGTCACAGCCACAAATTTCAGCATGACAGAAGGCACGAACATCTGTTTGCTTTCACTTTGTGTCACCATAAGCATTTTTTATGGTGGCACAGTTGTGATGTTTATTTCCACCTTAAGAGACCCCCAGGTCAGCCAAACTACCAACTCAGCTGGCTCACCAGGATGCCTGCCTCAGAGGAGCCAGAGAGCCCAGCAGTGTGGAAGCACTGAAATCTTCAGCCCCGAGGGAGTCCATGTGGCATGGCTGGCATGATGTCTGGCAAACTGCTAACCTGACAGGGAAACAGGTAGGCAGGTTTCATTGAAAGCCTATCAGGCAAATTTCCAAACCCAGCTTTGAATTATCAGAAGTGTAACCCTTCTGCCAGGCCCTGGTGACAGAACAAAGGCCGGGTTCAAATTTGGGGGTTTTGTGGCTCAAGCCTCCAACCAGAAACCTGGGGGAAAAAACAGCCTTTACTGGGGGTCCTGAAAGAACAACTACCCCATTTGCAAGCAACTTGGATGCCAAGCTGAATATAAAAGTGCATTAAATGGAAAAGAAAATAACTAAATGTTATCTAGCACAGCAACCATAAAACACTTCAAATAACAAACGACACTCCAAATACCAAACACTGTAAAATATTAAATACCATTGATATTAGTTACTCCAAATGTTAAACTCCCCAAAATATCAAACTAAAAATTTAAACATTTGAAAGTATTAAATATGTTAAAGTATTAAGCACCTAGATATTAAACACCTTCAAGTATTAAATTTCCTGGGGTTTGATTGCAGTTTTTACTGAAAATGCCCCCTCTGGGTGTTGCAAGGAGGAGAAAGGAGTTTCACTCTGGGTGACAGAGGAGACTTTCTCACTAGTTGTTGCTGTGGAGGTCATGCTGTGTGAGCGCTGCTTCGCTGAGTGCCTCTAGGGTCTCCAATCCAACACCTATCCCTTCTCAGGATCACTTTGTAAGCACCACTAGGGTCTCTGCCACCACTCAGAATCACTTCCACTTGCAGAGGAGAAGAGGGGCAACCCCCTCTATCACCTTGGGAGCACCACTGCAAGGTCATTGCTGGAATGTGCTGCTTGCTGTAAGCACTACTGGGGTATCTACCACCTCTCACCACTCAGGACTGTTGCTGAGTCCCTCCAGTAAGAAAGCATTGTCTTTTACTATCAAGAGTTTTACCAGCTTCAGCAGGGATGCCCTCAATGGATGATTGTACCCCTCAACATGAGAGGTATACTGCCTGCCCGGAGCAAAGATTCGGGATGTGAAGGAGATAATCCAGGCCAGGATCAAGCCCACCGACTACTACCCCATGGTCCTAGTCCATGTGGGTACTAATGATGCGGCCAGGAGAACCCCCGATCACCTGATGGTAGACTACACTGCTCTGGGCGGCGTGCTGAGGGAGTTCGGTGCACAGGTGGTATTCTCTTCCATCCTGCCAGTGAACGGACGCGGAAGACGGCATGAGAACTGCATCCGAGAGACCAACTGGCGGCTTCAGCAGTGGTGTCTCGAGGCAGGCTTCGGCTTCCTGGACAACGACCCGCACATCATGACAAGGGACATGCTCAGTTGGGATGGGCTTCACCTGTCCCCCAAAGGTAAGCGTGTGTTTTCTTCTAGGTTGGCGGATCTCCTCCGGCGGGCTTTAAACTAGGCTTGCCAGGGGGAGGGGAAGATGAGGGTGGGGGAAGCTGTGGACCACCAAACCATGTGGCACCCACGGGGACGGCCCAGCCTGAGGAGGGAGAACATTGGGAACCTGCAAGACGCGGAGCGGCCAGCACTACGGCACAGGTAAGAAACGAGAAGGTAAGAAATAAGGGGCCCCTTGGGACTCGGAGCGGGGGCGCAGCAAAGGCACCTGTCGCAGGGCTCAAGTGCCCATATACTAATGCTAGGAGCATGGGAAACAAGCAGGATGAACTAGCGCTCCTGCTTGCAC